CTCCCCCTACCCGCAACACTACAGCCACCCCTCCTCCCCTACAGCCCTAACCCATAGCCTTGAAAACCTACACCTCAACTCCCACCCTACCTGGTTCATGGATACCGGAGCCTCGCACCACATCACCGCCGACTCAGGTACTTTATCTCATGTATTTCCTTCAAACATTAATTCACCCTCTCATATTATTGTAGGCAATGGATCTAGAGTAAACACTACGGGTTCTGGCAACGGATTCCTTAAAACTAACCCTCCCCTTTCCCTAAATAATGTCCTTGTATCCCCCCATATTATTCACAACCTTATCTCAGCCCGTCAATTTACTCGTGATAACAACTGTTCAGTTGAATTTGACTCATGTGGTTTCTCTGTGAAGGACAAACTGACGGGAGCCGTGATTCATCGATCCAGTAGTGACGGACACCTCTACGCATTCTCTCCAGCCTGCCCCCCAGCACAACTTCATCTCACCAAAGTCGACCTCCCAACATGGCACCGCCGACTTGGACACCCAAGCCCAGCTATGCTCCATGGCATCTCCCCTGTTTTAGATAATAATAATAAGTCAAAGTTAGATTTTCTTTGTCATGCGTGTCAACTAGGCAAACATGTTCGCCTACCATTTCAATCTTCGAGTCGTATTTCTCAGTTTCCTTTTCAATTAATGCATACAGACTTATGGCAATCTCCTGTTCCCAGTGTGACTGGTTTTAAATTTTACATGCTATTACTTGATGATTTCTCGCATTACTTATGGGGTTTTCCTTTACGTCACAAATCTGATGCCTACTCTCATTTGGTTAAATTTACTGCTTTTGTCAAAAATCAGTTTAATACGACCATCAAAGCCGTGCAATGTGACAAGGGCACTGAATATCGTAACAACCCACTAGCCACATTTTATGAGTCCTTGGGAATCTTGTTTCGCTTCTCTTGTCCTTATACTAGCCAGCAAAATGGCCGTGCAGAACGCACCATCTGCACCATAAATAACACCATGCGCACCCTCTTGTTCCAAGCCAACTTACCACCCCAATTTTGGGTTGAAGCCCTTCACATGGCCACTCATCTCTTTAATCTCCTACCAACCACCACACTACAAAAACGTACCCCACATGAAGCCTTATATAACACCCCTCCACCCTACAACCACCTTCGTGTCTTTGACTGTCTCTGTTACCCCAACTTATCTGCCACCACCCCTCATAAATTAGCCCCCCGTTCTGCGCGGTGCATTTTCTTAGGCTACCCCGAGTCTCAACGTGGGTATCGGTGCTACGATCTCACTACTCAGAAAATTATTGTGTCACGTCATGTCACGTTTGACGAGTCTACCTTCCCATATGCTCCACCACAGTCTCCGTC